CCTGACTCCCGCCTCTCATGATTCCTGACTCTCGCCTTTCCTTATACCGACTCCTCAGCCCTGACTTCCCTACATGATGAATGACTTTGACAGCGCCCGCTCACGCCTGCAGCAAACACCGCCGGGTCATAGTAGGCAAGCGTATCCTGCGGGCAGGAAACGAAACCCGAAACCCTAAACCCCTCTAAACCCTGAACCCCAAAAACCCTAAATCCTAAAAACCCTGACCTAAGAAGCACAGCCTCAATGTGGGGATTCCTTTGCTGAAAAGCCCTCCGCAGTCTTCCAGACCTGTGGCTCTGAATTCTCAAGCAAGACCCCCAAGGTTTAGGGTTTAGGTTTTAGGGTTTAGGGTGGTTTAAGGAATGGAAAAGAAAATGGAGATTCCTGTTGGGGGTTAAGCTAGGTTCCTCAGTAACCCATTAATAATAGGGGTACTCTTTTTCCTACTGTTCAGCTTAATAAGGAAACCCCAAAATAAAAAGGGCAAAAGGGTACTACTGGGGTATCTAGTAAGGGTCTGGGGATTGGACATGAATTTGGAAACGGCTATCTCGAGCCTTGATCCCTTTCCGCAACAAGAGGGAGACCTTCTCCAAAAACTCGCTACGGGGCGCATAGGCGGAATTATTGACTGCTTCTTTGCAGGGGAGGGTTTTTGGGAGTCTTTTTCCCTTGAATAAGAACTAACTGTGTATTGGGGAGGAAACTTCATGTACGGCAGGAGCCCAAAAGGGATGACGTTAGGATCCCAGGCAGGTATAGTTTATAGACTGTAAGGCCAAAAGTGGCTAGAATTTGTAGAGCTAGATCCCCTTGGCAACCCAAAGGGTCCAAGGGACTTAATAATCATATACGTACCCAAAACCTGTACTATAGCTACTATTACCGAAATCCCAAGTACCTGATTATTGGGTACATGGATCCTCTGGGCAACACAAATGCTCCTCAAGCCCGATGTTCAGGGTGGCGATCTTGCAGAGTGCGTCCTGTCAGGCCCCGCTGGCAAATCAAAATTCTGGAAGTTGCTCTTGGTTGGTAAGCTGGGGAGCTTTATTGATATATACATATATGGGGGTTTCCTAAAAATAGGGTTTTATGGAGAGAGAGAGAGAGAGAGAGAGATATATATATTTATATATATGTATATAGGGTTTGCCCAAAAAGGTACCCCCCATAGCAAGGATTCTAGTAGTTAGAGGACTATATTGGGGTCCCCTTTTTTTGGTAAAGTACCATATATAAAGATGTAGTGTAGGGGTTGTGGTTTAGGGTTTAGGGTTTAGGATTGAGGGTTGAGGGTCTAGGATGTAGGGCAGAACATGTAGAGTTTAAGATGTAGGCTCACTTTGCTGATTGATGCTTCTGACGGCCAAGGTATTGGCAGCTCGGATCGCGGAATGGACATGGGTGGTTGTCAAATTATGGTCCCTTTTTGGGTACCCTAAAGGGCCGTATTATAATAGGATCCAAAAAGGGACCATAATTTGACAACCACCCACATGTACACCCCTACATCCCAAAGGCTTGACAGAGACCAAAGCTTCCAGACTGGAGACGGACCCCATATGAAGGGCAGCTACTTTCGGCAGGCTCCACGATGCGGGGGCTTCCATAAACATGTCAACCTAATCCCAACCCCTACACATGATCCCGATAAAATCATTACCCAATATTCTTGGGCCCTCAGAGTACCCCTGATTCTTGAAAGCTCTGATGTTAGTTTGAAGCAAAATCAGCTCCTTGGCACCCATGAACTCCATGACATCAGGTGCAGGCCACACCTGTCTGCAGAAAGCTGCATGCTTTGAATAGTCCTTCTGTGTGACTGTAGCTAGGTAGGGCTACAAAATTCAGGGTTTAGGGTTTCGAGAGGATTGAGGGTTCAGCATTTAGGATTTAGGGTTCGGGGTTCAGGGATGATACCCCAACAATGGAGAAACAAATGGAAAAGAACATGGAAAACACCATGGACATTGGGATGATACAACAGTTTTCAAGAGTCCGTCTGGGCGACTGTAGTCTGCTTCTGAGCTGGGTAAGCTGGATATGGAATAGGCTTTAGCAGCCTGAAAGCGGAAACTGCCAAACTAAAGGGGTTAGGCATATATTTGGGACATAACCCCCCCATTCATGGAGATTCAGGCGATGAAAAAGAAAATTGACAATAAAATGGCCACTGGGATGATCAGGGATTTGGAGTTTGAGGGGCTAGGTAGGTATGTTACTAGATACCAGTGCTATCCTGCAATATGTTCAAGAAACTGTAAAAACACAATCATACATAGTCAAAGCTCGGGTTTTTCCCTGTAGCAGAGACGGTGGGATGCTTCAGAGTCATATAGTCTCTCAATTTTGCAGGTACAGTTCATGTCAGGAAGTCGTTGAGCCAGTGTGATTTGGATCTTAGACTAAACGTCCTGCATCCACGAATTCAAGTGGAGGCCCTTGGCAAGAACATCACGCGTTGCAATCCACTTGTATTTCAGTGGGTCCGTTTGAGAAGCTCTAAAGTTTCTGGCGCCCGTGGGCGTCTGGTGTTTTGAGACCAGCGGTGGTGTAAACAATCGCAGTGTTGTCGAATTGCTTTTGGGCTTGACTGGCTGTGCAGTACAGAAAGCATGGCCGCCAACAAGCCCTGGTCTATTCACGCCCGTCAAGTACAGGATCTCAAATCACAATCCTAAACCCTGTAAACCCAAACACCCTCTGTAACCCGAAAGGCAGAATGGGAGTGCCTGGATTCCCTTCTTGCGGATTTCGCGCATGCCGTTGTCGAACTTGCCCTGGTCGCCGCCGTCGGCCTTGATCTGTCCTGGTCAGGCATGGCGGCGGCAGTAGGATGAGTGGCGGTGGTGGTGGCGGTGGCGGTGGCGGTGGCGGTGGCGGTGGCGGTGGCGGCGGCGGCGGTGGTGGTGGCGGCGGTGGTGGCGGTGGTGGTGGCGGTGGCGGCGGCAGTAGTAGTAATAGTAATAGTAATAATAATAGTAGTAGTAGTAGTAGTAGTAGTAATAGTAGTAATAGTAATAGTAGTAGTAGGTAGTAGTGGGAGGAGGAGTAGGAGAAGGAAGAGGAGTTGTAGCGGCAGCAGCAGCAGCAAAAGCAGTAGCAGTGGCAGAAGCCGCGGCAGCCGCAGCCGCAGCGGCGGCGGCTTGTCAGGCAGCCGCGGCTACTAATAGAAGAGGGTTCCTCATATATCCCCCATATAGACCCTACATAACCCATTTTGGTAGTTTCCATTTTATTTTCCATTATCCCTATATAACCCCAATATATCACATGAAGCATCAGTCCGCAACAGTAACAACCGCAGGGTCATGGTTGAGGCTAACGGGATCAGCAGCTCAGGCTGACCAGTATGTCAAGCTACTGATGCTTCATGGGATTTATTAGGGTTATATAGGGATAATGGAAAAGAAAATGGAAACCCTAGGTCCCTTTAAAGGGATTATATATGGGTATATTGGGGTTATATAGGGATAATGGAAAATAAAATGGAAACTACCAAAATGGGTTATATAGGGTCTATTTTGGGGATGTATGAGGAACCCTCTTCTTTAGGCGAAGCACCTTTGAAAAATGACAGAACTGCTTCGTTAGCCTACAGATATGCTGGGAAATGTGAAATGGCCAACCCGACGGCCAGACCGATAGTGGCGGCTGTAGGAAATTGTCCGAAGATCTACAACGGCTACGGGCGACTTGGTAACCCTATACCCCTCATCCCTAAACCTCAGCCCTAACCCCTAAACCCTTAATGGTCCACACCAGCTTGGGACTCTGCATAACTCTGCTGTTCGGGTTTAGGGCCTCCCTCATATTAATAAACCCCCGTGTTGGTGCAAAAATCCCCCAGAACGTCATTCCAAGCCCCCCGCGTAATTGCAAAATCCAATCTGCCAAAACGCACAAAAATTTGCAAGCGCCGGAGGAGCAATGTGCACTACTGGCTAGTACTACTATCGGCTACGACGGCTGGAGATCCAGCTTATGGACCCAGATACTCTAAACCCTGAACCAATTACGGAGGCTCGGACCCATCTTCGGGGCGGTAGAAGAGGGGGCTAGAGGGGGGTTTCTTGATAACAGGTGAACATTAAGGATTAAGGGTTCAGGGGTTTCGCAAAACGGGCTGTAAGGAGAGTAAGGGATGAGATTATGCAGGAGTATGGGGGTCCTTCCTGGGGATAATGCAGGAATCATTTAGAACCCCTTCCCCAGCTATAGAGTTCTGCATTGGGCTCACATTTCTGAAAAACCTAGCATTCAGCCCTTCGCCAGTCCAGGATTGCATCGCACGACAATGGCATCAAAGTTCTTCACCACATCGAAGAACTTGTCATGCTCCTGCACCAATGGATGCTTGCTCATACTTTGCTTGGCCTCGACTGGGTGCTCCCTCAAACAAACACGTCCGAGGGGGTTCCGGGCTTTTGCCGGAAAGTTTTCGGCGGAACTTTGCGTGCTCGCTACCTAGCCTGCAACTGCGTTAGGTCGTGTCAAGGAAGCTTTAGACTGGCAACTTCCCAAATCGATGTTACAGATAATCTAAAACCTTTGTAGATGCCCACCTTGAACTTACCACAGCCCTGAGAAACCAATGCAGCAAACGACAACAGGTAGAACTGCTCGATCCAACCCGACGGACGGAAACCTGAAGCACCTGCAGGGGCCTCCAGAACAACGGCAAATGACCCGATGTAGGGGATGTTTATAGTCTTTAGGGCCCAATGTAAGTATTTTTGTATACCTGGATCCCCAGGGATTACTACAGGAACCTCATTTGTGCGAATCCGGAAGATCTAAAATCCCCGCGCCTAGCAGTCATGACTACAACCAACAAAGCTTCTGGATCATGACTCTTACTCTCATGTCCCTGGCATCTCCACACGTCTGGAGGAACTCCCACATATAACACAGGAGTGAAAGACATGAGGGCAAGATTGTGGGCTGTATTCCGCTAGCAGATACATGGGGGTGACCCTCCTGATCTCGCACGCTTCTACTTGCGCTGATTCCGAGGCCTGATGCACGTAGTTGATCAGCTGGCAGCTCATACCAGCCTCGCACTTAAGCATGTGCCTACAAGTATAGCCTTGGTGTTGGGGGAAGAAAGCTATTTTGAGGACTCTTGCGCAACTCATGGTGAACAGGAGGCTGCAAGAAGTTTCAGTAATTTGCATGTTTGCGTTGCCTGAGCCCCAAAAACAAATAAAACAATGCCCCACAGACCCTAAACATGTCCTAAAGAGCCATTATTCTACATACTGTGGGGGTCCAAGTGTACTCATCCGTACCGACCATGGTATGCCAGCGTCAATGCCGTGGAATGCGGAGCAGGCCCGGAACCCAGATGCCATGTAGCAATAATAGTAGCAATAGTAATAGCAATGACTGCAGTATTAGCAATGAAGATAATAATAAGAACTGTAATAAAAGCAGCAAAACTAAAGCACAACAAGAGTGGCACTCGATACAGGTAGCAGCATTACGCCCTTTAATATTTGTCATCACTGATGTCCACGGAGAGCACTTCTACAACACAAGCATGCTGCTTATCACCTTCTTAACTCTAAGACTCCATGATGTCCACATTAACCTAGACAGCAAGCAAAGGCGCTGGTTGCGAAGTGTGCCCGCAGCGTCAGCTGTCAACACTTCAACCTTGAGTGATACCGGTCCAAGTTGCATCCTTAGGCAGTGTGTAGGATCACCAGTGACCTCAAAGTTGTAGGACCAGAAGAGCCCCTTACTTAGTATAACCTGGTTGAATTGAGAACTCCAACCCCAAAAGGGCTTGCTGGCAGCCGAGCATTCTAAAGTTTCCTGTGGCCTGGTCACACTGTGCTCACTCAAACGGCTAACAAAGCACATACAAGTTGAAGGAGATTATGGAGGGCATGCATCCACTTGCAAACCCCCCTGAACATGAATTCTCATTCCTTTGAAGGTATGCTGCAGCTCCCCTGCCTCTGCACACCTCCCCAGCTTTTGGGAGATTCTGTTCGGTGCCTGCCTAGGCCTCACGCCACGTGGCCCTGGGAAACAAACCTACTTGATCCCATCCCATGAAAGCATGCATGCTGAATGCTTTGAGAACAACACCCCGAAATAGCCCGGAATAGCAAATCCCACACCTGGAGGCAACATCAACGCCTGGATGATGCCATTGGCAAAGGCCATGCTGTCGTAGCGATGGCCGTTGGAGCTCTTGTCGGTTCCACCACCCCTGAGATGCATCTCAAAGGCCGCAGCCAGTAGCACATCTGATCACAGTAATGAAGGATTCAGGGGTACCTTTTTAGGGGCCCCAATATCAAGGATCAATTATAGTATTTTGGGGTCTATATTGGGGTCCCTTTGTAGTAAATCGTAGTCTATATTATATTGGAGCCCCCTGTTCATGGAATCCCCATATCGAACGTAATCCTAGGCAATTTGGGGGCAACGGGGCGGCCGAAGGGCTCCTGGCTGCGCACGTAGATGCCCGTCAGAGCGGTCTTGAACCTGCGGCTTGAATGGGAAGACCGGTTTGGCCCTAGAATAAGATTGAGGGTTTAGGTGGTTTAGGATTTAGGGATCATACCCTTCAAAGACGTACAAGAGTTTGCATCATGACCTGAGGAGCAGGATTGTAGCAAACTATACTTCTGCCAGTTTTCGAGGAGCTCACCATCTGAGCTATAGTCTAAACTCCTAGTATCCCCCTTAATATCCCCTATAGTAGTCCCCTATATAATCCCCTATATATCTCCCCTTTAAGGAGTTTTGACTATAGCTCATCTG